ATACCAGCGTACCGTAATGCAATTTGTGCAAGGCTTCTCTCTCAGCCACCATGTCCTCTTCTTTTTGGCTCTTGTTTCCTCCCACAACACCCATTCCACTCTTCATCACTACCGGCGGGGGGAGGATGGGAGGGAGGGTCTGGTGCTGCAGTTTTTGTTCTTGTGCTTCGTGGTGATTTTTATTGTGGCCAGCAGACGATCCATTTTTAGTGCCATTCCTCTGCTCGGCTCCCTCGCGGGGTTTAGGGACCGGAGGACGTGGCATGCCTGTGATAAGGATTAAAGTGGTTAAGGTCATGAGAAGTAAGAGACGGGATAAATCGCGACCACGTCGACAACCATTCATGCATTCCAAACTTCAGATGGTCCGCTTTGAGCTAATGGTCCTTGTGCGCCGAAACCTAAGTGAAAAGGGCGTAGGAAAAGGGAACACGGGAAATGAAGTGTTCGGGAGACGAAGGGGTAAAGAAAGAGCGGCAAAAGATCCTCTCTTCCCCTCGAACAGGTCCCATGCAAACACACACGGGACAGGCATCGCAGCTCGCGAAAAATCCTAGGTGGCGAACGCATGAAAGCGGTATATAAAGTGATGGGCGATGATCTAAGTAGAGCACGTGCAGGGTCTGGGTCGCCGGGCCACATAAGAAAAATAGCGAGGAGGGGGGGCAGGAGGTTTTCAAAGAAAAATGACACCTTTAAGACGCACCTAAAACATCATTTCCTTGAGTAAATGCGCCGCATATATCCAAAAATTAGTCTATACTTTTGTAATATTTGTCCCATCGGGCTTTCGATGCGACATTGTGGACTTTTCACCTTCGCAGCACAGCCGCGTGAACAACAGCAACGGATTAGGCGAAAGCCAGGTTGAATCTTTCCCCAAAGTTTTTCATACCTTGGTCCCTCCTATTGTCTTTGCACGTACCTTTTATCTCCTCATAAAGCGCCACTACCTGCTCAATCATAGATGTTTTCCTGATCTCTGGAATGAGAAGTATCCTCTCTAGACTATGCCAAGTCGTTGACGCGAAGGAATCTTGGATTTATCGGGAATTTGCAAGGCCCTGTAAAATTTGCCCTGAGGGTTTTTTATTAAAGTCTTAATGCGTTCTGCTGCATTAAGGCGTTATTTAACATTCTAGGAATCAAGCCTCATTCATTTGATGTAAATCGCGTGTAAAAATGGGTTAGAGTCGTTTCGTGTTATCACGCTTCCGCCCTCAAAGACATCCTTGGCTCCAGAACCGCAGCATGACTAGAAGGTCGCGACAAAAACTAACATTAATTTTGTGGCAAAATCTTTTGTCTTGTAATCTACTGATGCTTTATGTCATATCGCTGTAGTCAGCAGAGTAATAAGGAATGCTTTACAAGGAGCAGACCGGGATAGGTGGTAGACATCTGCAAAGAAAGTAATTTAAGAGAGCGAAATGCTTCCTGCTTGGTGGTTCTCGGGAGCACATGACATTTGAAAATCTCTGTCTCCCTTTAAACATTTTCTTCCTCATTTCCTTAGAGAGAACTCCCAATTACTCTCTCAATTTTCGCCGGCAACGGCGCTTCTTCCATTTGCCTCCGACGGTGCCGGATCCCCGTTGAACGCACCGGCAAGCGACCTTGCTAATCTTGTCGTCCTTGGTAATCAATGTCTGAGTACAACAGTAGGATGTAGAGTGAAGGGATCACAACTTTGAAAAAAATCATACGTAGCCTGGCCTCTAGCATTGGAGCTAGTCTCTTGTCCCCGGTGTGCTGCTGCTATCCACTGCAAAGCTTGTTGGTGCTCGAGGAATGCGTGACTGGAATCCAACGACTCCAACTCTACCGACAGCCATGATGACCTTGTGTGTTAATATTCCCGCAAGCGCGCTATGTGATAGAAAGAGAAATCACGGGAGAGGTAATTTGCGTAGTTCTTGTTCTGTTATCTCTGAACTCTTTGATGGTTTCACATTGAAGACGCACAACACTTTCACAGGGTCGTTCTCTCACTATTATAGAGCCTATTATTGACGAGCTCTAAGAGCTGACCTGCACGTTTTAACATTAGCGACTACGCCGGGGGACGAGGGATTTATCGTGTAGATATAAGCGAAAGGCGCGCTCTCGTTCTAGTCACACATATTTGTCATCAGCTGCTGATGGCAAGCAAAAGATCCATTTTGGAAGTGTGCAATTATCATCTATTTTCCCATTGCGATTCGTGCATTATCCGGCATGATGTTACCACTTATTTGTCTCCCGTCTCTCATCCCTCATCACGGCTCCTATATGACCCACCGAACGTGCTTCGCTTAGTGTGTTTCTTTTCGATTGGCCTTTCAAATTTGAGTGCGATCATAACTTTCAAGCAGAGGATTGCAGCTTTAGAAATTTTTGGCGAACACGAGACATAGCAATGGTCCTCGAAGCACATTTTTTGGGGCTCACAACATCACGGATAGTCGTGCGCGCCGCGGTAATGAGCTTGGGGAGACTATGTCGAGTCTCCATTGGAATATGCAGGGTTCAATGGGAGCCTAGCTGCTCGTCCGAGACCTTCCCTTTTACGGAATCGCAAACTTAACTGCTGTAATTATCTTACCCTATTTTCCTCTTTCAATCCCACTCGTCTCCGTCGCCATCCAATAGCAGAGCCTCACCCAGAGGCAGCGGCGGGCGAAATGGTCCCCGTAGTAAAAAGGGCAAGGCTTGAGATTTCCTGTGATAGGTTGAAAGGATGCATGTCGTGGGGATGTCAGTTTACATGGGCACTCACGTCCATACCTACCTCCTTCTTGCTCTCATCCTCTCCATAATCGGCCGTCAATTACATCACTTCTCGATATTCCTTATGCTTACCCTGTCCTTTCTTATGTCTCACCTCGACTCCCGCGCTCCAAAGCTGCCCAGTCCCAAATAGAGTCCTGGAGCTACTTCTCGCACCTCATCCCGCATGCCCATCCGCCCTAGGAAATGTTGCATTCCCCGATAGTCCAGCTCCAAGCTGGGATTTTTATCCCAAAAAGAAGGTGCCTGCGCTTGGGTGGTCATATGATACTTCCGGACGAGTCGACCCTCGGTGTTCCTTCCCATACCGATGCTCTCATCCTGCCCCTCGCCTTGTACCATGAAAAGGTTATAACCTTTGCTTCGCCCTCTGTCACCCTCTGAACAAAAACCTTTTCCGACCCAAAAACCTGGGCCCGTACGGACATTGTGCGACGTGGACGTGGGCGGGAAGTGAGGGGACAGAAAACTCAAGGCAAGCGATGAGGTGCATGGATGATCACAGCTTAAGATTATCATGTGTTTACGGGTATGAAGGACACTTAAATCTACTTACATACTATTTTAAAATGTGTAGGTTGTCTGGTTTGCTGTCTTTTTGCGGCTTCGTGACTCCTTGCCTGCTTACCTGGTAGCACTGGATTGCCAAATCCAAGAGTAGCCAACATGTTGTTCATGCCTGTTCCTGCGTCTAGCAATTCTGCCAAATATTCTCCCTCAAGCGGTAGTGACGGAAGTGAAAGTCCAGAGAAAATCGACATGATTGTGCTAAAGTTCGCGGTGCGGAGCATGAACTCATTTGTTTCGAATTGTGAGGAAGCATTATAAAGTGTAGGAGGGACGTCTCGTCGGAGAGATGGAGCGGCGGATGGCTGTGAAACAGTCAAAGAGGAGAAACTTAGGAAGCTCAATATAACAAAGGAGCCAAACGTGCGCCAGGACATGACATGCGTGGTTTAAAGGTACAATGTTTAGCCTGAATAGAAGGAACGATTCAGAGAGGAAGGAGGTTAATTATGTTGTGCAACCGTTCATTAACATGGAGGAAAGAAGCAAAGAATGGGAATATCACAAGAGTCGATTTGAAGTCCTTCCAAAACTTTTTGTTTCAAACCATGCCCAGGTGCACGAAAATACTAGTCACGCTGCAGCTCCGAGCGCTGACCGTTTCTTGAGACACTCGCAGTTTGAAATTTTGAACGTCGATGCCTACGGACGTTCAAAAAACCCTAAAGCAAGATGGATCAGCCCTCATGAGTACAAGAGTTACCTCATGTCCATGGCTTTATTCAACCTTACTACAAGCAAACACAGCTACACGCATCGTCGTGGTGGAATTAAGGGGGGTATTTGTCTGTACCCGAGATATTTGCGGTCAAACATGGTTACTTGTAAGATAACACCATACACGAAGAAAATGGAATATCAAAGAATTTTATTCTTGAACACGAATACTTTATGAATGCTTGACTGCGAAGGTAAAATAGTAAGATATAAATTGAAGACTTCGAGAAAGACTCTATTTCGTTTGCAACAAGCCTCATCGACGTCATAGATGTTTATCACCCTGCCTCTAATTTTATCTTTCAGAATTAACAAGCATCAAAGTCAGGCCCCCAGTGCTACTCCTTGCGCATGCAATCTAAGTTATATGGAAACGAGAAAGAGATGAGATTAAAGAAGAAAACAGCAATAATTTTCAAAAATCGTACACAATATTCGAGTATTAAAACTTTGCTCGGATCTCATGCAACGTTAGTGCACATTCCGACAACCTTCGTCAGGACTCATGTTACACGTTTTGTCCATCTCTATCGTTCGAACACCCAAAAAAATGAAACACGGAGGGAATTTCATAGGCTTTCTGCCTCGGCTAAATCGGTTTTACACACCACGTACCTGATCGTCAACCCAGAAGAATGTATAGAATTTCATTTTTTTCCCCAATTGGAGTGACAAAGGCCCGAGCTGGCAGACCACGGTACAAGAGGAAGGGATAATGACGAACGACACTAAGATATTCATTTCATTTTATCCAGACCACTATGTATTTTACTCATTTCCTGAACCCATTGTCCTCCTCACCTCGAATCGATTGAAGCCAAAGGTCATTTTGTTTCCTTCCCACACATAGTCTCCCACGACACATCCCAGGGGCAGAAGGCCGCCCGCTGCTGAGGTGTCAATACGGATGGGGCGAGACGCAGGGAGTGGAGCCGAGGGCGAGGAGGAGGGAGAGGAGGAGGGAGAGGACAAGGCGCTTACGGACACCACCTCGCATACGAGGGCAGGCATATAGCCGGCTCCTAGGAGGGAGGAGAAAACAATCTCCCACTCGCCCCCTTTGTCCCCCCCGGCCTCTAGAAGCGAGGAAAGAAGGGAGGGCGTGCCGGACGCGGGGAACAGGGTGGAGAGGATGCCGGGCTTTTTGGAAGAGGGAGAGGGGAGCTTCGACCCTTCCAGGACCTCGAGGGCGGCTATCACCTGAGATTTATCGACTAGCCCCCGGGATGGAGCATAGGAAAGTGCGGGAGAGGATTTGAGTGGTCTTCCGGGGTCAAAACACTAATAAATTCGGCTTGCAAAGTTCCCTTTGCCCTCTTCATCGATGCCCGTGCTCCTTTGCTACCGATTTGTCCTTCCCCCACCCCCACCCCCTACGTCTACGACCAAGCTCTTCCCTTCTACCAATTTGTCCTTCCCCCACCCCACCCCCTACGTCTACAACCAAGCCCTTCCACTTCTCTTGACCCCGATAAACACAGCTTAATCACCTTTCCTGTGACGCGCAGCGTCCCGCAATATGGCGACGGAAGCCGCTTGTGTGTAAGAGGAGGAGGACGTGACGGCGGCGGTAGTCGACGAAGAGGATGGCGGAAGGTCTGCGCCCTTCACTGAGAAAGAAGAGGATGCGAAGAAAAAAGAGGGTAACATGTGGAAGACATCGAGGCTGGCATTACCGGATCGACCAAAGTTGCCAAACGGACATGATGACGTACCACGGAGAGGCCAACAGGGCCTTTGCAACATGAGTGGCGGAGACCTAATACCTTCATTGAGATGCTTCAACGCTAGCCGGCCCGCTTGGAAGGCATGGGTCCGGTTGAGGAGGTCAACCACCAGGAGAAGGAGAAGAGGCAGGGAGAAATACTGGGGAAAAGGGAGGCGCCAGCGCGGGATGGCGATGGTAGAGGGTAAAAGATAAGACATATTTGAAGCAGCTCGGCCGATAAATTACATGTATGATCAAAAATTGCCGGATAATTGATGCCAGGTGGGGCACCTGTTTGGCATGGATTTCGAATTGGGGGAGGTTGATAGCGAGAGATGGAATGAGTGAGGAAATCGCAGAGGATGACGCAAATTTATCCGAAAAACGAAAGGCGACATCAGCGCACAAAGTACACGACGGCATTACCTCTCAAGCAAGCATTTCCTACCCCTCAGGAACGGCAGAAAGAAAAATAAAAATCTCGAAAAACTAGGACTGTAAGAGAGGAAGCCATCAGAGGTAAAGCTTATTGTTTGCGCTTGTCGCTGCCTCGCCCTCGCTTCGGTCGAGAAGCGTCGACTCCTCGACAAGGTATTCGCTCCCCGCCCACGCAGGCGGCTACGTCTGCACCGCTTTTTCTTTGTTTGTGCCGACAATTCATGTACATGTCCCTCCATGCTTTGGGGCCGCTCAGGCACGTCGCAGACGGTGGATGGACGGTCTGGTGGCAATTGAGACAAAGGGAACGGGTGGTCAGGATTGCTTTGTTACGTAAGCGGGTTTGGACCTGGCGAAGGTCTCGTCGATGGCTTGTGAGCCTGCAGCGAGCCAGGGGAATGTGGGTTGGGTTTTTATCCTCACAACGTGCATGGTTTTATAAAAACGAGCAGATTGTTACCTCCACATTTCGGTTTCTCTGCGCAGAGATATGTCGTGGATAGTGATTCTGCATGTTGGAAGTTGTGAAGCATGAACCGTTGTCGTTGCTTGGATCAACCCTGACGAGTCAACGTCTTGCGATCTAACGTGACGCGAATAATTGGCTATCTCTCTTGTGTATATTCACACGTGCTCGCGTCCACAGGGTTCTGTGCTTGTGTAGCGACCATCAAGCGATGCTTCTGTGCCTATCTCTGAAGTAATGCCTTACTCGAGACGAAAGATTTTGGCGTAGGAACTCGCGAAATCATGTGCTGTGTCGTGGCTAGTGGTCTCGGACGGAGGGAGGCGCGAGACACGCCACTGTCAACAAAAAAACGGCCTGATGATTAGTACTGGCTTCCTAGGATGAATTCCGATGCCTGTGGTGACAATTTGCCTCCTAAGCATCCTGCGTGCATCCAACTGCAGTGATCTTTTTGAACACGGATACCCATGCTGTCCTGAGGGGCCTTCAGATAGCTAAGCCACCCCTCTTCTTCCCTCTTCCTCTGTATCCTGACAGTCACACCAGTCCTTTACCTACAACCATGCGTGTCCTTGCATTCCTTGCTCTTCTGGCCGCCCCGGCTTTCGCCTTCGTCCCCCGTATGCCCGCGCCTGTCCGAGCCCGTGCCGGCCTCACCCTCCGCTTCTCCGGAGAGTACAGCGAGAAGGTACAGTTGGCCCCATCAAACCTGTTTCTATAACACGAATCTTTCGATTTCGTCCATCATTTTCTATTGTCCTGAATGGGGCGTTTTGATCTGCTCATCTGCCTTGCTGACGACGTTGAGGCTCCTATTCCCTAATTTCCCAAACCCCTCCTACTCTCCCTCTCCCTGCTTGTCCTCCTCTCCTTCCCCCCTCCCTCTCATTAGGTCCGCGCCATCGTCTTGGAGAACATGGGAGATGACGCCAAGGTCCAAGACTACCTGAAGGCCAACGGCGACGACACGGCCGAGTTCGCCGCCATGGGCTTCGATTCCCTCGACTTGGTCGAGTTCTCCATGGCCGTCCAGAAGGTACCATACATATATCTTCAGCCCTTCCCCTTGCACTACTCCTTGTCTTTCCCCCCCTTGTGATCCTCGGTCTTCCACAGGTCCTGCGGTGTCCACTCATCCCCGCTCTCCCTGCCTCTCCCTCGCCTCCCTCCTTGGCACCTGAACAGGAGTTCGACCTGCCTGACCTGAACGAGGAAGACTTCGCTAACTTGAAGACGATCAAAGATGTGGTCACCATGGTGGAGGCCAACAAGAAGTAAAGGGACACTTTCCCCGACATGTCAGCGGCGGCCGAAAACTGAGAATGGGAGGGGGCCGTGCCTCCGAGTTCAGCTTTTGGGGGCAACTGATTGTGTGACGAGTGGAAGCTTTACCGAACGATCCCATGGCATTCCCCTTCACTT